ATCACATGAAGTTCTCGTCTTACATCTTCATAATTCCTATGTCTTAGTGCAGGAAATATAGTAAACACTCACTCAGGTCACAGAATCGACTGGAATTTTTAGGGAACATTTCACAAGACTCTTTGAGGAGAATTTTAAGGATATTTGGTCCACATGATAAATTTAAAGAATGTAAAGGGGTCCAGGACCACTGACTTGGAAATATACTTCATGAAACATGAAAATATGGGAAATACAATGTCGGGGGTAAAAAGCAGAACACTGAAGTGGACACGCAAGGACTCCAACTATGTAAAAAATATATGTGCACAGAAAAGGAATAGGATGAAACTATAAAATAATAATTTAGGTGATTTCAAGTTTTGTTTTCATAAAATTTCCAAGTTTTCTACAATAAAAGAGTTTTGCTTCTGTAATCGGGAAGAATAAAATTTCAGTACCGACCACAGAGCACACATTTGCCTTATGACAGCGGCTGCCACCAAAAGAACATCATTCATTTTATAAGTTGTGTATAAAGATTTAATATGCCTGATTATAAGACAGTGAGATTTTTAAATAAAGGAACTCCAAAATCAAATGAATATTTCTTCCTGGTATTTCCTTTAGGAGACGATATGCTTATTCAAATGACGTTTTTTGGAGCTCCTATGGAAGAACTGTCTGTGAAGAGTCAGCCACGGAAGAAATGGATCTCCTGTCTCTATCAAGGCATAGCATTCTCTCTCCTCCCTCCTCAGCCAGCTTCAGCTAATGGTTTGTGTGCTTGTTGACACTGACCTTCAGCGCCATTGGGAAGGGCTGTGGGGTCATGTGCGCCCTCAGTCTCCATGTAAAAGCAGGTCTCTTTGTGACTCTGCGGAGTCATCTAGCTGGGGACTGGATTGTCTGTGTTGACATCACTCAGCTAAAGAGAAGCTGAGAGTTATCAGCTTGTTTAGACTCATAGATGATTCAGTTTTCCCAAATAGCCTAAAACTCGGTCACTTACTGGGGTGACAAACTCTGCCCAGTTTGCCAAGGGTATTTCTCATTTTAGCACCAAAACTCGTTCATCTCAGGAACCCCCTCAGATGCAGGCTGACTGAGGTGGTTGGTCACTCTATCCACTGGTGACCCAGCTTTATAATGATGCAACTTCCCTTCGTTTTAGTCTGACCTGGCTTCTCCAGCCAAGCCATTCACCCAAGGCTGGATGGAGGCGTCCAGTGGCCCAGCCATCTGACCTCTGCTGTGTGTTGTTGTCCTGCAGACGAACAAGCCAGAACAAAGGGATGAACTGCAAAGAGACAGGGCCCTACACATATAATCTGGTTATAATTTTCCTGGGAGAGTTTGGGTTCCTGGCTTATCCATCCATTCCTTAGTTATGAATGTATGTATGTATGTATATATTTATGGCTGCATTGGGTTCCTGGCGTATCTGTCCACTCCTTATTTATTCATTTATTTGTTGATTTATTTATTTTTGGCTGCCTTGGGACTTCGTTGCTGCGTGCGGGCTTTCTTTAGCTGTAGTGAGCGGGGGCTACTCATCATTGCAGTGCACGGGCTTCTCATTGCGGTGGCTTCTCTTGTTGTGGAGCATGGACTCCAGGCATGCAGACTTCAGTAGCTGTGGCACACGGGCTTAGTTGCTCCACGGCATGTGGGATCTTCCCCAACTGGGGCTCAAACCCACGTCCCTGGCATTGGCAGGTGGATTCTCAACCACTGCGCCACCAGGGAAGCCCCCGTCCACTCCTCGTAAAGAACAACTGCCTCTCAGGTTGGCTCATCACTTCTGTTTTGCCTGCGACATACAGAAAGGCAAACCAACTAGCCCAGCATGACCCTGCTCAGAACAAGGTTTTCTGCCAGGTTTTCACATGCTGGAAAACTTGTGCCCCTCGGAAAGAAACCCCAGCAAAATGAAGCCTAATTTTTATTTATTTTTGCATTCAGAGAGGAATGGCGATGTCGTCCATGTCCTAGACACATCTTAATTTGTGGTTTTTTTCTTATTTGACTCTCTTAATAGGAGGAAAGTATGCCAGGGCTGATTTATGGATCTCCAGTGGTGCCAGGCATCATTCCACATGTGCACAGCTGCTCCACAGTAGTTTAACTTGGCGGATAGTATTAAACCCTGGAATTGTGTCATCTATTTGTACACGCGTACAATAGCCTCCTTGTGCAGGTTCTTCAAGAATCCTTGCAGGCATGGTTGAGACTGGGCGTTTACGGAGTCTCACAGAGTGATTTATTCTGTTGGAAGGCTTTCAGCGTTTCAGAATGAAGGATGAGATAGCATTTTGTGCCATCAATTAAGTTCCCTGGGGAATTAGAGTTGGGCTAACGTGGAGACGCCTCAAGCCCACGGTGGGAACTCCCGTTTCAGTGGTCATCCAGGCGATGTGGGACATGTGACTGCTGACAGCAGGCTGGCTTTCATTCTGACATGTCGCAGGGAAGCAGCTAAAAGTGGGGGGCGGGGTGATCTAATGCAAGTCGCCGCGGGCGTAAATAACTTGAGAAGCTCTGTTGACAGCAGAAAGTCCGGCCTCCGCAGTAGTTAACAAGGCTATCTTCAAATTCAAAGGGCCCTGACATTTGTCACAGTTGTCCTTTGTAGTCAAGGGTGCTACTGCGGACACCGTGTTTATCCGTGCAGCCGAGTGTGGCTGAAAATACCCGTGTGTGACAGGTGATAAGGCCTTTCTGTGGAGGGGGACAGGGCGGACGTGAGAGCCTGGCTAGGGTTTGTGTGCGGGCCTCCCAGCACACAGCTTGGCATGTCACAGAGCATCTTGTCTCCATCTGCAGCGACCTGGCCGCTCTGGCCTCGGCCCCTCGGCTCCAGCGGCCCGCAAGTGTCTCCATTCTTGAGCAGCTTTCCCTGGGTCTTGCTTGCTGTCTCCCTTGCCCGCACAGGGCAGGTAGGCTGGTGCCAGACTCCTTCCTACACCCTGGCTCAGGGGAGAAGGCCTTTGAGGTGGGCTGGGTCCCTCGACACTTTTGTCGATGGGTGATTTTATTTTGCTACTTCAGCACTGTTTTCAACTGGAAAGACCTTTGAGGCTGAAAGGACTTTCCCCCCTTTCTCGGTGTCACCTGTCTTAGGACAGGGAAAGGCAGAGGCAGTGCTTTGGGCTCAGGTGTGCCTCTCCGTCGGTGGACTAGGTGGACACTTACACAGCTTGTTGCCTTAAAAAATGCTACCTCACCAGCCTATTCTCAAAATCCTTTTTTAAGGCTAGAAATTCCTAAAGGCTCATCTTGGAAGTCTAATAGTGGGTTCACAAGCCAGCGACAGGGCTTGGAAAGCTGTCCTGCTCGGGTGTCTTGCTGGGGGCAGCAGTTAAGTTCAGGCCCGGGTGGCGCTGGTGGCCTCAGCCCATGGCCAGCACTGCGTGACTGCTTATTACGCCTCTTTGGCAAATAAAAATCTTTTTACCCGTGGGTAGGAAAGAGAATAAAAGGGCTTCTTGGTGATGCCTTAGCCTTAAAATCTCCTATGGGAAGAACTGCTAATTGTCTTGAACAGGGAAACCCCAAGAATCTTACGAGCTCCTTAACCACTGAGTGAATCGCCTTATCAGACCTTCTTCTAGAAGAGTCTGGTGCATAAGGAAGTTGTGATGAGGATGACTGAGAGATGAGAGTGTGGTGCCTGAGACCAACCCTGGGCACTGGACTTCCCCGGGAGGGAAAGATGACCTGAGCCTCCATGAGCAGCTAAGGGACACTGGTGTCCAAGAACGGACATCTTCTCGGGAGGGAGAGGGGGTCTGGAATTGGGAGGCAGGGGAACTGAGCACAGCCTTTGTCTGCTTCACAGTTCTGCCTCTGGTTTGAGGTCATCCAGTAGAGTTCCATCCCACACAAGTCTTGAAGTTGTTTCTCCAAGGAACATCTCTGAATCAGCTTTCATCTCTTCTTGACCCTCTAAGGATGCTGGGAGGGAGGCCCAGAGTCCCCAAGGCTTCGGCGCATGTAGCAATGGTCTCTGATCCTGTAGATATTGTTTTTTTGTTTATTTGTTTGTTTTTTGAGAAACTAGGAGGAATGGTATTGAAAGTAACAAGCATCTAGTATGTCCCTCATTCCCATTTTATAGATGAGGAAACTGAAGTTCAGTTATGGGACCAGGATTACGTGAAAGCGAATAGCAAAGCTGGGATCTAAACGTAGGCCACCTACCAGAGGTGAGCAGGTTGACAAGTTAGCCCAACTCAGAGAGCCCCCTGCATCTGACTTCTGTGCTCCATCTCAGAACTGTGGGCTTCTCTCTACAGTCCTGACTGAGAACTTCACCAGGAAGACAGCAGGTTCTCCTCATGGTGTTTGAGAAACCACTGACTAAAGAATGAGCCTCGCCTGTATCCCTGATGATCTTTTAAAATAGTGAATAGTAACACTGCTATAATGGTGAATATTGAAATGCCACCATCTGCCCTTGGTCTTTCAGAAGGTACCAGGCGAATCTTGCTGTTCTGAGACCGATATCTAAATTCTTTTAATTAACTCATTTATTGACCAGGGGATTTTTTCAGAATCTAACGCCTGTGGCTGGTGATTTGTTATGTAAATCAATATTGAAACATCTCTGGTCAATAACGTTTGGGTAACAAAAGACGTATTAATAAGTCTCTGGTCAATATTAATAAACCTTATTTGGTTTGATGAGTTAAAGCAATACCCTTAGCCTCCACTGTGTATGTTGGAAAGAGGGCAGAAGGAAACAGTTTCTCTGAGATAACTCTCCAAAGAAGGTCCTAATAGGTTTGGGTTGATAGACATCCAAGAAGTTACAGATGATAGGGGTTGACACCCTTGCAAAATTAATATATGCCCAGTAGGCTAAGTCCATGGTTTCCTTCCTTTTCCATTGGATTTCTAAATGTCAGAAGTCCCCATCTTCATGGTCTGTGACGTGATGGGGCCCTTCTAGTTACAGAGCTCTTCCTCATGAATTCCTCTGTGAAACCTCAAAGACTGCTTCATTCCTTTTCTGTCAGGTGAGGACACAGAGACTGAACGCCCATGCATTCCTGACGGCAGCACAACTGGTACACCACGGAGCTGGGGCGAGAATCGAGACCATGAGTGCTTTTAGCATTGCCCCGCCGTGTTCCCTCTCCACATTCCACAGAAGGGTTTATTAAGGATCGCATTTTGCATAAGGCAGCCGATGGTAGCAATGGTCCCCTGAAGCCAGGGTCCCAGGCTGTGGAGCTGGTAGGGCTGGGGCGTCTCTTGCCTTGGCTTGGGGTTGGCCCAAGGGATTAAAATCACTAGGGTACAAGAGGAAGGATGCCAAGGTTGGAAGCCAGGCCCAGCCTGAATTGGGCTGTGCTGGTGGCATGCGAAGTTACGAAGCATTTTCAAAGTACCTATGACATTTTATTTTAGGTAGTAAAATCTTTACGTTCAAGCTGTTAGAAAATATTTGAAACAAGCCATTCCTAAATATGTTTATGTAAGTATTCCTAAGACACACTACACACATGTGTGAGTCAGACTAAGTTCTTCATAAAATAGAATTGAATTCAGTTGTTTAAAATGGGTTTGCTGTTGGGTTGCATGGAGACATGTACGTGGTTTGATCGTAGCCCTCACTTTTCAATGTTTTGAGTGTCAAAAGGACATAGGATGGCACCTTTCTTAGGAAGTGTGATTTATAATATACTCCACACTCAGTGAAAATTGAGTTTGTGTAGTAGTTAGGATTAGGTTGCTAGAAGATCCAAAATAACAGTGGCTTAAAGAAAATAGAAGTTTCTTTTTCTCTCATGAACGAAGTCAGGAGTCAGTTCACAGATGGTTTGGTGGCTTCATGGTATCAGGGGCTCATGCTCCTCCTGTCTTGTTACTCACTATGCATGAATTCTATTTCCAAATTCACCTCATGGGCCAACATGGCTGCTGGAGTGCCAGCAATTATATTTGCAATCCAGGCAGTAGGAAGAAAAAAGGAGTGAAAATGAGGGCACACTCTCTTCCACTTCCACTATGTCTCCTCGGCTAGAACTCTGTGATACGCCAGATCTGGCTATAAAGCAGACTGAGAAATGTATGATTTTAGCTAGCCATGATGTTCTCAGCTAAAACAATAATTAGGATTATTTTTACAAGGAAAAAAAAGGAAGAATGAATATTGAGTGGCAATTAGGAATCTCTGCCACAGCTTGGTTATGGAACCTATTCCCTTCATCTTATTCCCTAGGCTCCCCACACTTGCTCCTTGCCCATCCCCTCTTGCACATGTGCAATTAAAAAACGACCCTATTGCTTGAGAGACCCAGAGCCATGCAGAACAGAAAAGATCATTATGGGTGGAAACTGAGTCCAACTAGGGAGCTTCTTGCTATGATTATTTGCCTTTATTATCAATATCATTTATTTCATCATCAAAAAACCTTACTGTGCACTAGAATGTGTAGGGGAAAACATCAGAGGTGTTAGGAAATATAATACAGGATTCCTGTCTCTACCCTTGACTTTCTTATTTGGGGGAGATGAGACTCCCAGAGTAAGGTCCTGTCAAGAGCTGTGAAAGGGCTGAGATTTTCCCCCACTTGTAAGTGAGGAGCTAGCCCACCAGTGTCCTGGGTGCTGGCAGGAGACACAGGACCCTGGGTCAGAGATAAAGGACTTAAATTATATCAGTAGTCTGGGTGCCAGTCTTTTCTTGTGCTAGTTCCCCAGTTCCTGCAGGGTGACTCAGGTGGCCACATGGTGACTGCATGGCAGCGGGTGGCATTACAGGAGAGGAACCTGGAGCCCAAGGCAGGCAAGGCTTGTACGATGGGAAGCACGGCTGCCACCCCTTCTCCAGAGGGAACCTCCATCTCCGAGGTTCCAGGCTGTCCACCGTGTAAGCATGCTTGTAAAGACGGTCCATCCAGAACAGAGGTGTCAGCGTCTCCGCCTGCAAGATGTCAGACACAGGAGAGGCCCTTGGAGAACTGTCTTCCGCCCGACATGACACAGCGCACGCCAAGCGCGGCACCAGGACAGAAGCACCCTGGTCCCCTGTGAGTGAGCAGAGCGCGCTGGGGGCTGCACAATCAGGGGCCTGGAAGGGAGGGCGAGGCTGGACCAAGAGCGGGGAGAGGGCTCCACCCCCTGTGCAGGTGCGCAGACATGGTACGAGGCGTTCGTAGACCTACCAAAGAGCAGTTTGGTGGAAGGGAGAGTGTTATAGGAAAGCCGTGGGGTCTGGACGTCCCGGGAGGGCCTGGGATGCCTGAGGAACTTCCCGCAGCGAGGAGGAGGGTCGGTAATGGTGCCGCCAGCGACACGGCTGGGGATGGCCGGAGCGGAGGAGACGGGAGGCGAGGCAGGGACGGGTCTGGGCATCAAGTGCTGGGCACGTGAGCGCTTGCCACATGGCAGGGCAGCACACCCGTATTTATTGTTTTGCTTCCTTTACTATGCAGCAGGCAGGAAAGCTTGCAGGGAACTTCATGTCTGTAAGGATGAAGGGGTAGCACCATTGATAGACCCGTTACCTCAAGTGGCATTTCCTAAATTTCTCACGAGGGCATCACCCAGGTGTTCAGTGCTGGATCCTCTCATGTATTTTAGGATCAGGCCCTTCCCTGCAGGTATCAGTGTCAGGTTCTAAAGGACCCCAGGGGCCCTTACTGCCCAGGATAAGGGAGGGCTTTGGTGTGGGGCGGATAGATAGAAATACCCGTGTCGTACCTGGGTGACCAGTCATGATAGCAGCTCTGAAAGTGAGAAAACTAGTGTAAAGGACACATCCGCAGGGAAACCCGGATACTAACAGGCAAATGGCTTCAACAGAGGAGCCCCTGACAAAGAAGATGCTGGACATCCCTGTCCTTAACCCTCAGACTGGAGACGGAAATTCTACGTGTCCTCGAGTGGCTTCCTACTCTTCTCACAGAACAGTCCTGGCTCCTTGACCTGGTGTGAGAAGCAGCAGCACGCCCCTGGCCCCCGCACCTCCACAGTGAGTGAAGTGCCCCCGACTCGGCTTCCGCCATCCATCATGGAAGGCTTTGGCAGACCGCTGTGGAAACCAACTCCTAAATATTTTAAGCAGAGACCATGGCTGACAGGAGTCAAACTTTCTGTATTAATGGAGGATTAAAACCTCAGCTGTTTCCAGTAATTTATTATGCACCCGCTTATAAACACATTGCACTGGTCATGGAATGTATACGTGTAGCAGGCCCTCCAGAGATGGATGAAGAACACTTCAAGGGCATCAAGGGCACCCAGGTTCCAGCATGGAAGCACAATCACAGTTGGCAACCTTTGCATGGGAAGTCCCCTGACCGTTGGTGACCTGTGTCCTGTGGCCACTGTCTGGGAACCACTGCACGTGGAAAAGGAGCAAGACCCTCTGGCCTTACTCAGACCCATCATTACACTGTCCCCAGAAGTGACCCATGTCAGCCTTCAAGGGCTCATGTTGCGAAAGGCAATCATCTGTCTCGTGAGAAAAGCCATCGAAGTGCCAAATTATTGATGGACAAATCACCACACCCAGTGTGCTGTGTCTGACTGTGGGCACCACACCTCAGGGGCAACATTAGCCCCAAACGTGACACATGCAGGGCAGAAGCGTTCAGACCAGAAGGGGACACAAACCATGCGATGCTGGGACAAAGGAACAGGATTCACATGGATAGAAGGGGTGGGGGGGCACGCTTGCTGTCCGAATGCTCTGGAGGTTGTGGAGAGGAAGGTTTTCCCAGGGTGGGGGCGGAAACCAATGGTAAAGGCTGGTTGCTGTGAAAACAGATTTATGCTAAAAAACCCAGGGGTGTGGGGGGAGTACTTCCTAACAGAGTTTGTGAGAACGGGCCGAGCTCTCTGTCGCTGGAGATGCTCAGTCCTTGGCTGCATGGCCATGCTGGAAGAAACACTGCAGAAAAACTCCAGCGTCGGATCACTGAAGGAAGGGACTAAGTTTCCCCTGCAGGACCTTGTGATGCCATGCATGGGGGACTTGAATCTGAAGTTGGGGTGTGTGTGGTCTTGTAATAGGGAAGAATAAATCTGACTCCATATTGGATCTATTTCTTTAGCTCCAACCTTTGTGCCCTGTTGCCTCTGCTTAAGTCATGCTGGCTCTGCACCTTTTGTAAAAGAATGTTGCCTATGGCTTGAAATATACAGGATAGCCTGACCTTGACCTGACCTGAACACAGAATAACAGAAACCTGGCCTACAGGGACAGCTACAAGAACAAAGGATCTGACACCAAGAAGTTTGCAACAATTCACACACCCCCTCACCTTGCCTTTAAAAAGGGCTTTGCTGAAAGCTTTTCGGAGTTTGGCCTTTTTAAGGCATGAGCCACCTGTCTCCTTGCCTGGCCCCACAATTAACCTCTCTGCTTCAAACTCTAATGTTTCAGTATTGTTCGGTCTCACTGTGTTATTAGGCACAGACTTGCGTTCAGTAACAATTATGGTGAGCCAGCCAGGAATCTGTGCCTGTGGCGGGTGGACCCCGGCCAGGGACAGCCCCTTCCCAAGTTCCCAGCAGCTGCTGGAGCTCATTTTGCATCCAGGAACTGTGAGGGACTCTCCCTGAGAGGCGTCAGCTGCCCCAGTGCACAAGGTCATTTGGAGCAGAGAAACGTCCAGAGCTGTGGCCCACATTTGGTGTCACTTGGGGGTAAGTCGCTCCATCTTGCACAGGTTGGGAATTCTCTCCACTCCATTTGGGTTACTTCCCTTGTAGGAAGTGAGACACTCTGGGTCTGTTCTCTTTTGAGAGCTAAGCCAGTCTGTTTGGAGACCTCCATCTGGGAGTAGAAATGGAATTTTAGACTACACCTCCACTGATTTCTATGTGACCGTAGTTTGTGTTTTTTTGTGTGTGTATTGTTTTGGGGTGAGCCACTCCAGCTTGTGCCTTTGTTAGTGGGAGCATTCGTTTGTTGTTTGTATGTGTGTGTATCAGTATGCACTGGTCAGTTGAGACGTCTTCGGTAACAGGGCTTGCGTGTGACGGCACCAGGGTGTCCTTCCCTATTGTGTTGGGTTTTGCCTGTGGTCGAGCATTAGTTGGGATTTTCCTTTTGCAATGAATGGGTATCTCCCTTTTTGGCACTGGGGAACTGTGATCCTGAAAGACCATTTTGCATTGCATTTGTTTGCTTTATTAATATTAGATAACACCAGCCATGAATAATTAAGTATGGATAATCAGAGCTCTGTTCCATCTTGTAGTCCCCCTAGCATGTATTTTGCAAAACTGGGAGATCTTCAGTATGCTCCTAGAAAGGGAGAGAAAGAAGATTTTTTTTAAACATTTCACCACCACTACATTCTTTAGACTCTGGACTAAATTACTTAAGATGAAACTCTCTTAAAATTCCAAAACTGGTTCTTTTTGCATATGCAGTTAAGAGAAAGCTGGCTTGATAAAATACCTTTTTTTCAGAATTCTGACCCCAAGAGAACGAAAATATTCTGAGGAGCAAGCTTGAAGGTAACTAAGTAAGTTCAACCTATTCCAACTGTTATTTTTGGTTTGCATTTGCCAGGTGAATTGCCATGACACGTGTGGTAATGATTCCTTATCTTTACATTTGCATGTTGTTTGCTGTTAAAAAGTAGGATCCTTGTTTGAAAAAGTTGAGGAAATTGTTGGACTTCACCCTTTTGTTTTTGTTCTGCAGGAATTAGATTTTGTTCTGTGTGTATGTTTACATTTGTCTTGCATATAAGTTTGCTGGCTATGAGATCTATCTGGATGTATGTGTTTCATTATGATTAGGTGTCTTTGTCTTTGGATAGTATTGCTGAGGTTAACTTGTAAATGAGCTCTATTTAATAGACTTAAAAGTAAATGCTTACAAATTAAATACTTACTACTATTTAGAAAACAGGCCAAAATGAACTTCAGGTCCTCATGATCTGGGAAATATTCAGTATGGAATTGATATCTGGTATTGAAGCTAGCTTAAGCTTGTTGGTTTGACTAATACAGACATGTCTTTTAGAAAATTCAAACTATTTAGGATAAACCTTATAACCAGCAATAGAAATTTCTAGTAAGAGTTTCCGAAAAGTAAGTATAAATTGTGAGAGATGCCTTTAACATTACTTACTTAGGATGCTTTTAAATGCTTGTAATAGAAAACACAACTAAAAGTATCTTAAACAATTACGACTAATTCCTAATGGTTCCAGCATAGATTCAGTCAGTGAATCAGTGACATCAAGGATCCAGGTTCTTGCCATATTTTCCTCTGCCATTTTTACATGTCCGTTTTGTCCTTGGATTTGTTCCCTCATGATCCTAAGACAGCTTCCACGGCACCAGTCCTCATCCAACAATGACCAGATTCAGGAAAGTATGAACCTTTTGTCCCTTTCAAGAGCAAAGGAAACCCAAAAGTTCCCTTATTTGCCTTCACAGTTCTTAAGCAAGGTTGCACCTGTATTAAATCAAATATTGCCAAGAAGAAAAGGAATTACACCAGGATTGCTTTAACCTAATCCTCATTCACCCACTGGGGCTAAGGAGGGACCAATGAAAATCATGGGCCTAATAACTGAACAGTATTGGGGTTCTCTTGGCAAGGAAGTATGAAGGCAATTGTTGGTGTGGTCAATACAGACATGTCTTTTATTGTGCCTGGGTTTACTGAGGGTGAATGGGTTTATGTTGTTTCTGTTGCAGTTTGTCAACAGAAAAAAAAATTAGCTTGGTATGATGAAATTCTTATAAGTAAATTAGATGCAAATAGGATGAGAGCTTTTGGGTGACCTCTTTAGAAATGGCTATGATTTGGGAATGTCTGCTTAAGGGTGGTCCCTCCAGATATTTGGTAACTTAAATTTTAGAGTTGTGCTAGTTTGGGTTGGATGACGGGGGATACTGAATAGCTAGGTCATTCCCAGGCAGGGTACTGAAACATTAAGTACTGAATATAGAAGCTAAAGGTGTCTGGGACTATGTTTGGTACCACACTATTTTCTATAAAAAGCAGATGTTTTAAAAAATTATTATTGGGCTTCCCTGGTGGCCAGTGGTTGAGAGTCTGCCTGCCGATGCAGGGGACATGGGTTCGTGCCCTGGTCCGGGGAGATCCCACATGCCGCGGAGTGGCTGGGCCCGTGAGCCATGGCCGCTGAGCCTGCGCGTCTGGAGCCTGTGCTCCGCAACGGGAGAGGCCACAACAGTGAGAGGCCTGCGTACCGCAAAAAAAAAAAAAAAATTATTGTTGTTTGCCAACCTACAGAATGCTAAAGGACAGTTAATAATTGATCGCTTCTTGGATTTCACTAGAAATTAAGGGTTTTTTAGAGCTTTGGATTCAAATTTAAATATGTAATTAAAGCTACTAAAATAATAAAGGAAACATTTCAGTATACAGCAGGAAAGTAGGATATATGTTTTTTTTAAAGGGAGTTTTACACATGGTTGGGCTGAGATTAGGTTAAACTTAAGTAAGTAAATGGATTTTGTTATTAAAAATAGGCTGGTGCAAGACTCGATTTGGTCCCTCTCTACTAAGGGAACAAGTTTACTTAGAATGCTTTTTTTTTTAATTTTTATTTATTTTTGGCCGTGTTGGGTCTTCATTGCTGCGCGTGGGCTTTTCTCTAGTTGCAGTGAGCAGGGGCTACTCTTCATTTGGTGCTGTGGCTTCTCTTATCGCGGAGCCTGGGCTCTAGAGCACAGGCTCAGTAGTTGTGGCGCACGGGCCCAGTTACTCCATGGCCATGTGGGATCCTCCCGGACCAGGGCTCGAACCCGTGTCCCCTGCATTGGCAGGCGGATTCCCAACCACTGTGCCACCAGGGAAGTCCCTAGAATGCTGCTTTTGATAACAGATTATGTGAACTTCCTTGCCTGTAAGTGATCTATATTTGTTTCTGAGATCTCTTCTCACTTTGGTTAAGAAACAAGTGTTGTCTTACAGTGACCTGTGATCTTATTTGACCAAGTGTTTTGAAACTTTTTGACGAACTTCCCAAATACCAAATTTTAATTAAAATTCTTTTGCCCTCCAGCTAACTTCGGGATGCTTTAGCGGGCCCTTGATGCATCTTAGAGAGCAGTATTTAACTCGTATTATTTGGTATGTTGAATTACATGGGAAGCATCGTCAAGTGGGTGATAAGACTCCTCAGATTATACAGTACAGATAAATGTTATTATAATATATTCTAGAAATCATGTAAAGTTTCTGAAATGTAGATATGTCCTGGTATAATGCTATCAGTCATAATTCTGGTTATCTTAAAATGTTGTATATCACAGCAACTTGACTAAGCTTTTTTGTTAACACACTAATCAGATCTTTAACCTTGCCTTTTAAGTCTTTGATAGACAGTTAAGCTGATGCTTTGCAAACTTGCTTCGTCTTCAAGAAGATTCATAGGAAGGACTAATAAATTTTAGATAATACTTTTTTTTCTTTTTTGCTGCACGACATGGCAAAATTAAGTCGCAATCTTAATTCCCCGACCGGGGATTGAACCCATGCCCCCTGCAGTGGAAGTGCAGAGTCTTAACCACTGGATCGCCAGGGAAGTCCCTCAGATTATACTGCTGAACTGGGTAAGAAAGACATTTAAAACCCTAATGGAAATCCTGATGGCTTCATAAAACGTTAACAAAAGGATTGGTTACTAAGTGAACTGGTAAATACGGTTATAATGTTTATGGGTTTTGTCTGGAATATTACTGATTCTGATTTGTGTTTTCCAGATAGAGGGAAGCACTTCCCCTCAAGTTACTCATGACTTACAGAAATTTGGTAAATTATACCTTACTGAGTAAAACTGAAATATTTTTCTTTTCTCTCTGGCTGGTCCCTCCAGAAACTGGAGATCCATGGGTTCTGAGCAGCCTTATCAGGTGAATGGGCAAGACTGTCTCCTGGCATGTACAGGAATCTTGGTATTTTGGGGACCAAGAATGCCACCGAGGCAGAATCTGATGGCAGGCCTTTGGCATGGATTTCCTGGCCTTGAGAGGCCTTTGGGAATTCAGTCTAAGACTCCTGAGGAGTTCCACCACAGCCAGTTTGGGAAAGCCTATGTAGTCAGTTGACCAGACTTAATTTACGTGTTTGTGGAGAACACTGCCTGCTTATAAGTCTACTGCTAAAAGCACATGTACAATGCTTGTGTGGCAATTGGGTATAAGTGATAAAATGTATGGCCTATAAAGCGTATACCATTAACATACCTCTGAGCCTGTTCACAATATTTGATCAGTTTTCCCCCGTCATGAGTATCTAGGCAAATATAAAGGAGGTCTAGCACCAAAGGACATGATCTAGACCTGGGGCAAGAAGCTAAATCACCCTGGCATCAAGGGACATGTTTTGGTCTGTTGAAGAATTTGCAGTTAACAAGGGAGATGATGGGAAATCTGTACATATTTTGAGGTCTGGGGAAGTCATTCTAGCTGATACATGATTTAACTTAAACTTTATTGACCAGAGCAGCCTGTTGTTTTGTGGCCTTTCGGACATGCATTGTACATCTGCCTTGGCCACTGAGGAGTGGAATACATTTGAAAGTTGAAACTGGAGTAGATGTGGTTCAGACATTCAAGGTAAAACTAGTGGCCATTGTGCATGTGATTTCAGGCACATTCCTATATTGCTGAAAACTTGAATTTTCTGAGCTCTGTCATACTTGGGATGCCACCAGCCATTCTCAAAGTAGTGTCTGCTGGCAGATGGCAGCTGCAACTATATGACCTCAAGATCTCTTGTAACTATTACATTTTTAGACAATAAAATTGTTTTAGTCAGATGTCAGCAGAAAAAGGAGACATGCAGTGGTCAAATTGCCCCTGTTATATATGTTAACTCCACATCAGAAGTTAAAACCTACTTAGATAAAAGTATACAACTGGCTACCTAGCTACAAGTTTCCCCCAAAGTGCCAGGTCCAGACTGGTTTTCAGGCTTATTCTCCTGAATTCCTCAGGGAATGAGATTTTTATTATACAAGACTCAGATCCAGGACTTTGAACTCAAGAATATTTCCAGCTCTGTGTCCATTCCCCAAATCAAGGTAGGACTATGTCCCATTGCAGGAGGAAGTAGCCAGAGTGGTAATCACCCCATTCCCTGAAAGAATTGGGGAAAGATGAAACAGGATTGGAGTTGGAAACCAAATCACTGTGAAATGGAGTTCCTCTGCTGAGTTTATGATTAACTTCTCTATCCAAAACACCGTTCCCCTCTTGTTGTCCAACACCTTCTCCTCAAGATTGAGGAGTATCAAAGAAAAGGGAAGAATTGTAATATGGAGGAACAAATCCGACTCCATATTAGATCTGCTCCTTTTACTTTAACCTTATTTAACCTTTGTGTTCTATTGCCTGTGCTTAGTCATGCTGGCTCTGCATCTTTTGTAAAAGAATGCTGCCTATAGCCTGAAATATACAGGATAACCTAACCTTGACCTGACCAGAGAATAACAGGAACATCAGGACCTTACTGACCTGGCCTAGGTAGACAGCTACATACAACACAAAGAAGTGTGCAACAACTAACCACGCCCCTTCCTCATCTTGCTTTTAAAGGGCTTTGCTAAAAGCCTTTCAGGAGTTGCAGCTTTTTAAGGCATAAGCCACCCATCTCCTCGCCTGGCCCTGCAATAAACATTTCTCTGCTCCAAACTCCGATGTTTCAGTATTGTTTGGCCTCACTGTGCATCGAGCACACAATGTGTGTGTGCTGTATGTTGTTATGTGTAGAATGTGTGTGTGGTATGCATGATGTGGTGTTTGTGTGGTGTATGTGTGTGTGGTATGCATGATGTGGTGTTTGTGTGGTGTATGTGTGTGTGGTATGTGAGGGGTGTGTGTGATAAGTGTGCGTGGTATATGTATGTGTGTGGTCTGTGTGTATGGGGGGTATTTCTAGTGTGTGGTCTGTGTGTTTGTGTGCTGTCTGTGGTGTGTTGTATGTGTGGTGTGTGTTGCATGTAATCTGTGTGTGGTCTGTGTCTGTGGGGTGCATGTAGTGTGTGTGTGGTATATGTGTCTGTAATTTATGTGGTGTCCGTGGTGTGGGGTGTATGTCTGTGGTTAGTGTAGTGTGTGTCATGTGTTTGGTGTATGTGTGTGTATGGTATGTGTATGTGGTGTTTCTATCTTCTGTGCTGTGTTTACAGGTGTGTTTGGTGTGTGGTATATCTGTGGAGTGCATAGTGTATGTGTGCGGTCTGTGTGTATAAGAAGTATGTGTGGTCTGTGTGTCTGTGTGGTGTGCATGTGTGTGTGTGGTATGTGTATCTTTGGTTTGTGTGGTGTCTGTGGTGTCTGGTGTGTGGTGTGTGTTGTGTTTGGTGTATGTGTGATATATGTATGTGTGGTGTTTGTGATGTGGTTTGTGCGTCTGATCTGTGTTGGGAACGTGTCTGTGGTGTGGGGGGTGTGGTGTCCCTGATGTATGTGTTGTGTGTGGTACGTGTGTGGTGTATGTTTGTGTCTGATATATGTGTATGTGCAGGTGTGGTGTATGTGTGTAGTGTATCTGGTGTGTGTGGTCTGTATGTGGGTTTTGTGGTGTCTGTGGTATATGTGTTGTGTGTGTGTGAGGTCTGTGTATGTGCTATATGTGTGTGGTGTGCATGGTGTGTGTGTGGTGTATGTTTATGTGTATGTGTGGTGTGCTGTGTGTGTGGTGTGTGGGTGAGGCATGTGGTATATGTGTGGTGTATATGTGTCTGAATGTGTTGTGGTATTTGTGTGGGTGGTGTACGTCTTTGCTTGTGGTGTGTATTTGTGTGTGTGATGTATGTGTGGTGTGTTTGT